GCAGACCCTGTTTACGTGGGATGTTTGGTTGAAGCGTGACGACCGGCAACATTTGACCATCATCATGGACATGGAGGGGTTTCGGTTATCCATACTTACGCCAAAGCTTTTGCGGATTTTTTCAGCATCGTTCAACGCGGTGCAAGCACACATGCCTGATCGAGAACATTTGGTGTTGGTTATTAACGCGCCTGAATGGTGGAGGACAGTGTGGGCAATTTTCCGTCCGTTCCTGGCAAAGAAGCAACAAGAACGACTTCGGGTTTGTGTTGGACAAAAGGAATCCTTTGAGACCCTGCGGGAATTCATTGATGTGAGCAATTTGCCGAAAGCCTATGGGGGCTCTGGTGTCGAGCTCGGTTCTGCACCGGCCAACTTGCAAAGAAAAAAATACGCTGCTGAAGGTGCAGGAAGGTAGGCATTGGCTGCGACAAGAACAATTGGATCGCCTGGTTATGATCCAGGGCATGTCTAAGACATCCCAGAGACCTGTGGATCATCGATGTGGATGTGCAAATGGCAAGAAACAGCTGGCGCGAATTTTTGTTTGCAGGGCTCGCGCTGCATGTTGATAAGGTTTCTAATGTTGATCCTTGCCTTTGTGTTAGTCATTTGGCTCATTTTGGCAGAAATGGGCACGCTGGCAGAGGTAAAGGATGTTGCTGTTTCTGGCTTTGACGAGCCGCGTACTTAGGGCGTTGAGTTCTGCGCTGTTCCGCATGTGCCTGTCTCTGTTGAAGCGACACTTGAGCTTCTCAGGATTGTGACCAGGGATGGCGTTCCAACGGGTGTACCCAGAGCGCACCAGAAGATCGTAAAGTTTGCCTTGCCGGACTTGCTTCTACTTCGCAATGCAATACTACAGTACTACAGTAATACAGAAATACAGTACATACAATACATACAATACATGCAGTAAATACAGTAGCTACAGCAAATGCAATAAATACAGTAAATACAGTAGATGCAGCAAATGCAGTAGATACAGTAAATACAACAAATACTGTAAATACACTAAATACAGTAAACGCAGTAAACACAGTAAGCACAGGAAGTACAGGTAAACACAGTAAATGCAGTACACGCAGTAAATACAATAAAAGAAGTAAGTACAGTTACTTGATGTCACAACAGGCTTGATATGGCAAAGTGAAAACTTGACCGCTTCTTGCCAGGTGGGAGCATCAGCCTGGTCACAGACCCTTCACAAGCTACAAGCTTCCAAAGTGGGCCGCTCCGGCCCTGGTTGAGGGAGAGTGGCCTTTTGTTATGTACCACTCGTGCCAGGTGAAGCATCCTGATTCCCAGAAGGCAGCCATGTTCTTGCAGCCTGAGGACTGCATCGCGGCATGCGGACTGCATCTCTGGAGTGCGCGCAAGTTGTTTTCACCCCTGCAGGACTACATGGGCTCCAAGAGAAGACACAACATCCATTGCTGGAATGTGGCCCATATCGGTGCCTAGACTTGGAAAATGAAATCCATTTGTGGCTTCCGGACGTGGACGTAATGGCACTGTAGTCTTTTCACCCCCTGTGCATTCTGTCTGGATGCAATTGATTGTGTAGTGTTGCCTTGGTCACCTGTATATGACTCCATATTACGCATATTATGCGTTTTGAGACGCCTGAGACCTAGGTGCACAATGCGGGATGTTCGAGGGTCAGGGCTTCAAGATGCTCGAGAAAGCTTCAAGCGAAGAGATCAATGCACCAGCCTACGCCTGAGCTTCCATGGTAAATATAAATCTCGGAAGAAGAGTGGCCTTCTTAAGCTTAAGAATCACCGTGCCTTTTTCACCTTTCTCACCAGTGGCTGCACGGCGTCTCCATCCCTGTGTTCAGGACGCCTTGGAAGGCTTTACGCCGCTTCATTGGGCTGTGTTGTCGGACAACCCCAAGGCTTTTGATAAGATTCAATCAGCAACGCTGGTTCTGGCTCACGCTTCGCTGCATATGTGGGGTACTGAAGGCCGTGATCTGGCTGCTGAAGAATGGAGCAGACAAAGACGCCAAAGATGCACAGGGAAGGACGGCTGAAGACCTGATCGAGGAGCCACACGCCAGGGCCGCCACTGGCTTCATGGGTACTTCATATGACACTTTTCATTGGACACTTTTGATGAACACTTTTGATGAGCTTGTGAAAAGAAGTTTGAAGAAGTGTGGCAAGTGCCAGGACTACTGGGGAGACTTTCACCAGCGGTACTGGGGGCACTTCCCAAAGCAAGATGGTCTTCCTCAAGTTGACAAGGCTCATGCTGCAAGCTTGAACCGTTGAGAAGTTGGGCAACAGTTGGGCAACATTTGGGCACTTGCAGGTTTTTCCCAAGAGGCTGAAACAAATGAAGGATGCGTGGGGAGCTTGGCGTTCCGAAGTCTTGGGGCGTTGTGCTTCGGAGTGGCATTCAGGTTCAAGCTGACGTTTGCAGCCACAGACTCTGACATCGACGGGTACAAGTCCATTGAGGTTTAAACCACGTGACAGAACTCAAACAGGCACACATGTTGGAGCTCATGACGTATTCTTTTGTACTTGTAAGCTGTATAGCGCTGTGAGTTGGTTGTCACTTGAGTCCAGACTAAGAGAGCATTCGCTTGATGATAGTTTGACAACATCTGTACATAAGCGTGCGAACTTGCGAACCTCTTCGGCAGTGATAAAGGGCATCTTTCTGGTATCTCAGGCGCTGCAGAAATTTGGAAGTTGATGGGGTAAACCTCCGTGACTAGCACGCGTTGTCATGGGTATATTGATGTGCTTGCACTTGCATGTGCGTGGAGCTTTTGAGGCTCGCCCCCAACTGAACACATGTGTGAACTGACAACCTTTAGCCATGTGCGTGACCCTTCCAGTGTTTACACTTTTTACGCAGCACAGCACCCAAACCCCATGCGCAGTAGCACACCACCCTTAAGGCCGTGAATTGCTCTCCAGAGACACAATCGAAGCATCTCAAGTCGCTTTGAGCATTTCTGGCACTGCCCGCGGCTTCGTGCAATGCTTGGTGTCGATGATCCACAAAGTGCAACGGCCTGAGAGCAAAGATTGCTGTCATAAAGGTTCCACTTGGAGGATAGAAGCTGGTGCATTTGGAGATATTTGGAGGTATTGAGCAGCGGCTTAGCGCCACTGTTCGATTGGAAGGCACTGAGCCAGCCGCCAGAGTCTCGGGACGCTGCTTTTCATTTCTTCGGACGTTTACGTCACACTGTTTTGGGGGCAGGCGTCACCTTGATTTTCAGCAGGCCTGATCGGCATTGTCTTTCCGACATTCCAACTCACCCATTTCCCTACGCCTGCAGTTCTTGGACAGCCTTGGCGTCTCGCCATTGGCGCCACCGCCAGTGCTGGAGGTCGGGAGGGCAGGGGACGCGATTTCACAGTGGCCTCTATGTAACTTGGCGATGTCAAGAACTGCAAACCTTTGCGAACCTCTGGTGCAATTCTGACCAGGTGGCTCGGAAAGCTGCGGCATTCCCATACCCTCCGCACTGGACTGAGGAGATTGATGCCGCGTCAGGCCCAGCATCTTCTAGGCATTTTTGTGGACCATTAGGTTGTGTTGCATTTGGGGGCCATTGTCACGAAAGCTAGCTCGTTGGAGCTTGCGAGAGTGTCGTTTACAACCTCCCCCCCATCCCCCCCACCAAGGGTTGCCTTAATCCTCCAGGCTCCCCCCCCCTTGGAGGCTCTCTATTTCGATGTGTCGAGAACTCGAACGAGGACATGAAACCGCAATGCTCCAGAAAGCGTTTTCTGCTACTCGTTCAAATCGGAAAACACACACTTCCTTCACCATGTAGCTGGCCATGTAGCTGACCATGTCGTTGACCATATAGCAGACCATGTGTGGCATCTTCGGTGTTGGGTAATGTCCATCGAAAAGTAGCACCATCACAAAGGTTATCTGCACGCATCATGACAAAGTATTCTCCGTTACCTCTAGCAGCTGTGCATGCGCAAGCCTTAGTGATGTGCCCGCGCCCGCAGTTTTCATTGCTCCCTCGAAAAAGCACTGGTTGCGCTGTCCGACGTTTGGTTACCTTTCGTAGCCCAAATCTCAAGTAATGCACAGTTCTCGTTGGTGTTTCCGAAGCAGATCAGATTTGAATTCGACCTATTTCGGTAGTTCGGCTCTACGCCTCTTGAACTTGACAAGATTCCCAAGGCTCGCGAGGCCAATGGACAGAGTGGGTAAAAAGTTATCGTTGGAATCAGCTAGACGTGTCGCAACAGTGGAGAGCTGACGTGCTCTGAGTGGGAGGTGCTCTGTACTTCTATCATCAGTTGCGGGATGAGTCGTCCTGGCAGCCGCTTGGCAGAGCATCGGGCTGCCATCCCAACTTTGTGTTGCACGAGTGTTGCATGGCGTTTTGGATCGCCAAACGTTCGAGTTTGTTTGCTTCTCAGGCATCCACTGACAGAGACCTTCCAAGAGGTGTCGGCAGTGCATTGGCAATGCTAAGCTGCTAAGCTGCTAAGCTGCTAATGCCAGTGCCAAGCATTGCGGGCACGCAAGTAACATGCAACGCTTGATGTGTTCAAGCCTTTGCAACATCTTGCCTGTTGTTCTTGGTTGACCTTTTCTTCTACGGATGCCAGGTGCTGCAACAGGTGAGCTCATTTACTGCCAGACCCTTTGAGTTTATCAATTCAGTGGTTCACAGCTGCAAGATGCTTGCTGATTGTGGAAAAGCAAATGTTTCTGAGGCGGACCAGCTAGAACTGGACCAAGTGGCCACGGCCTTGAGTTGAGAGAGCATCTCAAGCCTCCTTCGCTCCTGGGGCTTTTTGTGCTTTCGAAAGGCCTCCCGAATTGAAGCTGTCTTGACCGACATCCAGGAAGGGTATGATCTTGTGCAAGCCTTCTCCTGAGCATCTGCCTCGACAGGCGCGAGCAGCTGCTGCGGCTTGGCTGCAACTCAATGTGACTCAATATGCTTTGGTTGGTATTTGTTGGTGTGCTAGGAGATGAACAGCGTTTTGGCTGTGCACGGAGTGTCACAAGTTTTCAAATAGCAGCGCCAACATGACACTGTCAATACAAGGCCAGTCTTCTCTGTGTTGGTGTCGCTGACGCAGCAATGCAACTTGCAAGGAACTACAGCAGTGGGTCGGGCCACTGGGAGAGCCGGGCTGTGAACAGTGCCCAGAGGAGTCACAGAGTCAGGGCTCGGCTTTGTACTGTGGCATACTGCATGCATGCATCGGCTGCAGCTCGGGCAAAAGCTTCTGAATCCCAGTTGAGCAAGTTGCCCAAGTGGCAGGTACTACTACAACAGCGTGACCGGCTGCAGCACATGGGAAGATCCCTGTGAGCGCTGGAGGTATGACATACATGTCAGGCACTGAAGAATTTGGGACACCGTAGGATCAAAGCAGTTGCCTCCGTCCTTGCCCAGGTCCGGTACGACCTTCTTGTAGGCTTGGTCGCTGCTGGCGGGTTCTCTGCATCCTGCAAGCGCATCCTCGCAGTCTTGGCAAACGCATGCCGGAGGTTTCCTGGTGGCTCAGGAGCGTCGCTCCACCGCCAAGGCTACTCGTCGCATTTGCGCGCAGTCAAAGAAAAGCCCATAGGCCCTTGGAATCATGAAGAAAGACCCAAACCGAGTTAGACCTTACGGTCAGACAGTCAGACCATGAGGCCAGCTTAGTGATTAAGTCACGGTCCGGCGTACAAGGCTCAATATGCGTAACTTAGAATTTTTCCTTCTGTTTTCATCTCCAAGGAATCGAGGGCCATGCCCGACATGACACATACGAGCTGGCCTTGGAGAGTTATCAAAAATGAAGCTTGCATGGAGTCCTTGGGGAGTCAGTGTATGTCAAAGTCAGAAGCTTCTGTGTGACTGAGGCTCACATCCCTGGCATCCTCAGTCAGTTCAGTGAACAGCATACTCGCAAGCTCATTGACAGCGCCTGCCGGCAGCCCAGCACAGATGTCATTTTGAGGTTTGTGCACCACATCGCCAGATTTCCTTTGTGTATGTGCGGTGTGAATGTGTATCTAAGACACTGTCTTGAGGCCAACTATGTGGGAGATCCCGCCGACCCCGAGGTGAAGTCACGTCGTAGCTGGGAGTTGCTGCTGACATCGGGGACGCAGCGCGCCTGCAGATGCAGGGCACGTCTCGACACGCCTACTCTTTTTGAGGCCAGCGGTGCTCGCTGGGCCCGGCCGCGCCCTCGTCGACAAGGGCTGCCGCTGCCGTGCGCGACCCAGTTGTGAGTTGACATTCCCCTATAACATGAAAAGACGATGAAACTTCTCAAAGTCCTTTTCTTCACTGTACTGGTGAAGCGACGCTGCCCTGCAGCTGCATGGCTGAGACCCAAAGCTACCGGGACGGCAGCGAACCTAGGAGTTGTTCAAAGGATGTGTCGGAATATTCGGAAATGACAAACAGAGTTGGCTTAAGGCGCCTCGCAGAGCCTTGTTTTCCATGCCGCCGCACCAGCAACAGTATGCGTCACAGGCCCACAGACCAACGGCGCGCAAGAGCTGCATTTCGTTAACTGCGCAGGTCCTACAGTCTGAACAAGCACCAGGGTCCTTCCGCCACAAATTGGCTTCAATTTGCTGCCAGTAGCATCAGGATTGTTGTGCTTTTTCTGTGCTTACCAGGCCGAGCGCAGTCTCACCTCCGCCTCCGCCGGTAGGGTCACCAACTAGAGGTGTTGGCTTAGGTTAAGCAGCTTCATCAGAAAAGCCATTCCTGGTTGTGCTACTCGCTCGCACATGCCCGGCCAGTACATCATGCGGAATGCAACAACTGTCGGCGGGCTTGCAGGATAGAGAGAGCGGAGTAGCCTGCGTGACTCCTTACGGAACTCCTCCACAACATTTTGCGTTGCCCCTAAAAGTGCTATGTAGCTTGATGTAGGGCTGTGACTGTGTTGTACGCCTGCAGCTGCTGTCAGCCATGTTGCGAGCGCTGTGCTTGGCTTCGGGCCGAATCGTGATGAGGCATTTGCATGTCCACACTGTGCACACACCGCACAGATGCCGTTGGCCTGTCAGACTGACGGCGCTGCATGGCAATTGGGGACGACAGTGATTTTGCATCGAGACTGACAAATACGACAAACCACTCAACCGTCGCAAAGGATGTCTTTGAAGAAATGGACCATGAGCTCACATTCTGGTTGCAAAGTGATGCCACAGTGGTTGGGCCATTGAAATGTCTAGCCGGATGGGGAGGAAGTGAGGTTCTGCGGCGAGGGCTGGGCAAGGACTGCTTTGTTGGACTTCCCCAACGCTGTAGCAGACATCCGCTGTCATCAGTTTCACTTGTCCCTGGCATCTCTCAAGCTTCCCACAACGCGTCAAACACGTCCGGCAGCTCGGGCAGAGCTGCAGGTCCAGCTGCACGTGGCTTCGCAGACAGCTGCCTTGCCAGACTTCTCCAGACCATTGACAGAATGAGCGAGGCAGGTGACGTTCCTGCCCCATCCGTTCCTCCTAGGCCCAGACGACTTCAGCCGGCTTCGCCGGCATCTTCGATGGCCATGGCTGCCATGGCCTGGCGGCCGAGCATAAGAACTGAAAGAGACGATGGAAGAGACAGGCAGACCAGGCAAGCTGGGCCGCATGCTGGATCTTCAGGTTCAAGTTTCCCAGTTCCAGGTGGAGACGAAGCCCTGGCAGTCCAGTTGCAGTTTGGGGACGAGGGGGCTGCAGTGGCTGCATGGTCACCAGAACCGCTTGTTCCCGGCTTTGTTCCGGCCCCACATTTACCAGAACCTCCTGGCTCCCGGATTTCATCCATTGATGAAGCGCTGGCATTGGCTCTCAGCATTGCAGATATGGCAGACGCTGATGAATGGCACAGTCCACATGCAGCTTCAGACTTTCGAGCCGAAGCTAGACGCCGCGTGCGAGCGCGCCGAACGCGAGGTCGGGCATTCAGTGGTCAGAATCGTCAGGGTGATGTTTTTTTGGGCCGTGAAGCTGGGAGCCCATTCTCAGAGCCAGAGCAAACAGGCACAGAACATGGTGAAGAACAGTCCCCTGACGATTCTGACGGCTTCTATTCTCGTCTTTGGGGCTTGGACGGGCAGACCTTCGATGTGGATGTGCAAAGAAGCCGTCGGAGGACTTCCAGCCCAGTGATCCTTATGGGAACATTCAGACATCGCAGACCAGAAGATGTGCAGAGTTTTGGCACATGCTGTATGAGATAGTCAGATACGTAACCTTGCTCTTTTGCCTGGTTGTGTTCTCAACTTCATTGAGCAAGATTGCTCTGAAAGGACCGAGAGGCTTGCGCAGCCATCCAGTGGTCGCCTGGCCCTCAGTGATGGGACTTGGACCCACTTGGAGCCACTTGTCGCGACTTGGAGCTTGGAGTCCTGCAAAAAAGCAAAAAAGCACATCTTGACGCCTCAGAGCCCTTAAAGATCCTTGGAGGTGTTCATGGTGTTCACGGTGTCCACGGTGGTTCCCCCTCACCGTCCAGGCACTTTGAAATCATGTAAAGAGCGTGCTGCGGTTTGAAGAAGAATCTGTTGGCATGCCATGGTGGTGTGACATTTCGTCCAGGCCCCGCCTCCGGTCCAATTCGGGTCCGGAGGTCCTTGGAGTGTGCTGATGTGAGCTTGTGTGAGAATGCTGCGAGGGCTCCAGTTCTAGCAGTTGTGAGCGCTGTGCAGCACTACTCATGCCTGTCTTTCGCGAGGTTGGCTCGGACCAGACAACTATCATCTCGTTTACCCCTACAGATGCGCCAGCAGAAGCTTGCCGCCCAGAGTGGCACGGTCTAGGGCAGAGCGAATTGCTGCAGATGTCGTTTTGCATGACGAAATGTTCCATGTGTTTTGGCGGGTTGGGGGGGGGAAGGGTTGGGGCTGGGTGGCGGGTGGGAAGGGGGCGGGAAGGGGGCGGGGGAGCACATCAAGGTCATACAACAATCATCGAGTCTTCATATACCACTTTTGCAGTCTGAGCAGCATAGCAGATTCGGGGTTCCACAACCTCAATAGCGATGGACGTTTTGATGAATTTACTGTGGCATAAGGCAGAAGTGACAAGGTAGCCGGAGCCTTTTCAAACAAACGCCGTGCACTGTTCATCCAGTTTTGCCAACAGAGTACTGGAAGTTCGGTGAAATGCTACATGCATAGCTCCTCTACTTTGTTTCGGATGGCAAGAAACTGACTTCCAATAGACTTGCTCACCCCTCGGCGGTCCTGAGCAGGTGTTGGCGATCTCGCATGAAGACGCTACAAACTCTCAGCAGAAGTTGGCAGCGGGTCGATTCACAGCAGGTGTCTGTACCATCTGCCGTTATTCGATCAACAGCAACATGAACCAACGTGATCCCACAACTTTGCCAAACTTTTCGACATAGGTCAGCAAACGGTTTCTCGGCAAGGTATCAATCTAAAACTAGTCCAATACAATCCTCTTTTGAATCTCGACTGTAGCTGGCAGACCCACCGCCCGTTCTGAAAGTTCACACGCCACCCCTGCCCCCCTCCACAGTACTCAGACCTATATTTGTTTGGTGGTGACATTCCCAGAATGTAAACGGACATCATTTACAGATTAAGATATGGTGTACCAAGATCCAGGTCTTTCGGGCAGGCCACTGGGCGTTGCGTTTCAATCGTCAGTGTCAAGATAAAGCATTGTGAAATTCAACGGTTTGGATGCTAATGCCACAGAGTTTCCATAAAGTTTAGTCAACTTGTGCGTCAGTGGATGAAAGAGGACAAGCTACCTCGCCGCAGGCTTGCGCCATCTGTTGCGAGCATTTTGTGGAAGCTGATCGCCTTCGACTTCTTCCTTGTTTACACAGGCTCAAATACGTTTGGGAATCTCAAGTGATGACGGGCGAGTCAGCTTACCGGAGGTACCACGTGCTGTGCATCGACCGTTGGCTGGGTCAAAGTTGGGGATCCCGGCTGCTCGCGTGTTTCAAGATGTTTCATGATGTCTCATGTGGGTCGCCCTCTCGCACTGAGGTCAAACCTGCCCGGTATGCAAGCATTCGGTAGTGACTCCGGGTGCACGTTAAGATACCTTATGTTGTGGCCTTCGTGGCAATGACCGACATGCTCCATTGCAGTGGAGGTATGTCGGGGCAGGACCTCTTGTTGGCAGCGAGTCTCTCCAAAGAATTGCAGCTTCATACAATACAAACAGCCACCAAAGACTGCAGAAAGGAGTGACACGTGCCGTGTATTTGCCAAAGTTGCAAAGTGAAAGGCAAAAGGAGCAGTCAGTCATCATGTTCTGGTGCAACCAAGAATCATCAAAGGCAGGGGGCTCTTTGACAACTGGAAGATGTTACTCAGAACCTTTACATAGACTTCTCACGTCCTGCAGGGTTTGCTTTTTGCTCACGTGTTGGAGATCAGTGTGCAAAGCGTTGAAGACCTCGCCGCAGCCGTTCACTCAGAAGTGACAAAATTGCATAGTTTGTGCTAGCATGAGTGGATGTGGAGCCGCACTGTAGTTTCGACTCAAGCTTTAGTATTTGGCTTTAACTTCCCACCAAACTCAGCGATTTAAAGTTAAGGTTTTGACATCACTCAACATTTAGTCCGCTGTGTATGCTTCCTTCAAGCTGTTAAGATGTCTTTTGCGGAGCTGCGTTTCCGATGATTCGGGCTCCTGGCATAAATGCAGTGCTGAACGCTGCCAGCACTTTGCGACAGATCTTGTCACGAAAGAACGTCTTCGAGGAGGTACTTTCAACCAGGGAAGCGCAAGAGCTCTGCCTTCGTGATGTTTCCTCCGCATCTCTTTGGCTGCTTGCGTGCAGGCGGGCAAATCTTAACGTAAAAAAGGCTCTCGCCGCAAATTGCCAAACTCAAGTGGCAAGAAGCCTGGCGCATTGCTCCGAGCTGCTGCGCTTCGGCGAGGCCGGTGTTTATCCAAAGAGTTGCAGAGAGGACGGTCGTCTTCTTCTTTGTCCTTGTGCGTCCCTGCGAATGCTTTGAAAGACGAACCAGGCGGAATCTTACAATTTGCTGCGAAGCCCTTGTAAATATGTGTTAGGCGGGAAGTTTCTTGTGTTTAATGTTTTCGTTTAGATATCTGACGGAAGGAAGGACAGTTTCTGGGCCGGTTTTTGGGGGCCGGGTTTAGTGTCCGTTTCTAGAAGAAATAGACGTTGCATTGGCGGCCATTGCTGTAGCGGAAGGTCTTGGCGGGAGCCGACGCCATCAGACCTGCGCTGGCCCACAGACTCGCGCTTAGTGGGGCTGTTGTGTGGCTTTTGTGGTCTGTGTGTGTGATCGCCTTCAATCAAGTTGTTGCTCAATGGCAACTCGATCGTGCCTGACTGCAGCTGTCGAAGTCAGCAGGCGTTAACCCGAAAAAGAATAGCATAACACACGGCGAAGCCCGAAGACCTTGAACATCCCAGAACCCCTGTGCTGCAAGAAGGCCAGCACAGTCGACCTCGACTCCAGTAATGACCAAAAGAAGGAACATCCACCCTCTAACACACTTCTCAGCATCCAATCAGCATTGATACTTCAATTTTCTTGTGGCTGTTGTGGTGAAAAATTGAAAAACGACAACAAAGAATCAATCACCAACAAAGATGCAACAAATCGCGGGGCCAGGTTCTGCAACGAGTCCGAGAAAATACATGAAAACACCACGACAATGACGAGATGTCACGAATGAATGAACGTATGTATGTATGTATGTATGTATCATGTAGGTATGGCATGGCTGCACCCTGCCCCGAAGGTGGGATTACAGCCAGTCAAGGCGCTCATATCGTGTAGCCGGTCGATGGCCATGACGGAGAACACGAAAACCTATGGCAGAGCCTCCCAAATTCGGCATGCTTGGGTGTCTTGGGGGGGCCTTCTGCCAAGACACCTCCCAAGGGTCTGGCAGCCTTTAGCCCGTGAGAAACTTGCCCTCGCGTCAAAGGGCGTCGAAATGTAACACCTCAGGCAAGCTGCCCGATGGGGTTTGGGGTTGTCAGGGTTCGGGGTTTTGGCTCACAGTATGGTAGACCAGAAACACCAGAAACGCCATCCTTCTACCAAGATCAGGCACCCGAAGCCTGCACATGAGCCCATGCTCGGTTTGTTGCCGAAGGCCTTGGCACGCCTCAGGTATTTTGTCCACACACACGGTGCAACTAGATGTTGCTTCTCGATACACCCTGGAAGCCTGCACTGCCTGTCGTGCCATTCCCTCACCGCCCAGTAAGGGCAGTTCCAACGGCTTGCAGAAGGCTGGTTTCAGACCGCCGGAAGCCCGACACGCCGTGAAGCCATGTGTACCATCCAGAGGCGTGCGAGAGGTCAGGGAGATTCTCGGTGTGACTTGCCGAGGCACTTGCAAAGGGACTTCAGTCCGGGCTGATCAAACCCGGAGCACCGAGCTTGGAAAAGTAGCACAATCTTCGTTGACCTGGATGCGTTCAAGTATGTTCAAGTGCTTTTGCTAGCAACTGTTGCCGGGGGCTCCGATTCGTAGCAGCGTGTTTTGCCGAGGAAACGCATGGCCTCTCAGCACGCACGCTGCTGCAAGCCTCGGTTGAGGTGCTTAAGTTCCCGTCATGGCAGCATTATGTCGTTGTTTAACACGTTGTTAACATGGAAATAGCTGCCGCGGCAAGCAACGCTCGTGGGCATGTTGCCAGATTAACACTGATTGCCACTGATTGCCACTGACCGTCAGACTTCAACGGCGGAGCTGATGGTCGGGGCCTTGAGGGGGAACACGCGCTTACACTGTTTTTCGCTTGACGAATTTGGGGCTGGCCTGTCAGGATTTAAGCTACACGGGGTCACATTTTGCAGCTGCGGAGGTCCTTCAGGTTATTGACGAAGCCAGGAGCGAGAGCAACCTAGGGTGAGACTGACCTCAAACAATAGTGATTACCTCACTTAAGGACGAAGGGATTTTTGTGGTATGTACGATGATAGAGTAGTTCATTTTGTCTTGAGGATCTTGCAGACAAGCAGCGGCAAAACTTGGAAGCATGCCTGCAGCGAGGCCGGTTCGCGCATTTTGCATTGGACTCAAGAAATGCTAGTCTGGGATCGGACAGCAGAAACAGGTTTGGCCGGACAAGGGCATTTGGATCTGAACGATGAGGTGCACACCAGTTGGGAGGTTGTCGCGGGTACGGAGACAGAACACATCGCTGAATAGTCAGCTCCATCGCAGTGTTAGCCTGGGGTCAAGTTCAAAGTCGCAGTCGCAGATGTGCCTGGTGAGATGAGGACCTGCGTGGCCTCACAGACGACATGAAGTCTGCCTTGCACTGAGAGTGAACAGCATGCCTACACTTCGCATCTGCTGCGAAGTGTTGTGAGAACAAGAGGTGAAGCAGGCATATCTCACAAAGCAATACAAAGCACTGAAGAGACATCCAAGCGTTTAGCTGATTCGAAGACAACCTGTTGCAACAGCTGTGTATTCAAAGTAACCGCAGTACAGAAGCATACTGGTAGCATAACATGGATACGTTGTGAAAGTGCCGCTTCCTCTTTTGAGGTATGGGCAAGTCATTTCGGCTCTGCTGCTGCAAGATCCTTGGTGTTTGATTCCGAGCCATTCTGTGATTCTGTGAGCTAGTGCTTCATTACTGCTGTGGCTGCTGTGGCCTGTGTGGTTTTCATGTTGCAAGATATCTTCGCCCCAGGTCTGGCGCAGAGCGAAATACCGAGTTCCCGTTGGTCTGGCACTCAGCATTCGTGAGTACACCTTTTGAAACAGTTGAGGGAAGTTGTAATTGAAGGCAGTCGACTCGTCGACGTATCTTGTAACAGCTTCTGGCCCAAAGCTGGTGCAGTTGATCAAGTGTGGCACAGCAACACAGCCGTCACTTGGATGCCTAGCAGCTCCAGAATCCCAGTTATTGCATGGTGAGTTGCCATGGAGCCCTCATCTGAATCAATGTTTGGCTACAAGGACTGTTGCCAGGCCATCCGTTCTCAAGCAGTATTGGATTTGCGAGCGAAGACAGGAGCAGCCGACCCTAGCATTGGAGGCCGGAGTTAGCAGGGTATGAAAAATGCAATCAAGGGCCATTGTTGATGACTCTGATTGCTCTGCAGTGTTCACTTCGCTCTGATTTCGTGCGCTTTGAGGCTCCTGAGGTGCCTTGTTCGCAGTTCGGTGCCTTTGCCTTGGACCTTGCGGGCTTGAGTGCTTTGATTGCCAGGAAGGCGTGCAAGCAGACAAAGGCGAAGATGTACAGACTATTGTCGTCGATGGTAACCCGGTGCCTCGGCAGCTACTGGCCGACGTACCTTCTGCTGCAAGATCTTTGAATCTCAAAGCTGCACACAGTGTGTGCACAGCTTGTGCCTTTTGCACACTTCATTGCAAGGTGAAGATGGACAAGCTTGGCCCGCTGGTCATCAACACGGATGGTAGTATTGCCCGCTGGCCTCCCAGCGGGAGGGGTCTTTGCCGGCTCCTTTTCCTGGGTTCCCTGCACGTTGAACTGTTGAACATCATCGAACGTGTTTGAACGTGAGGCATCAACAACTGGCACGAGATGACGGAGCACGAGCAGACCAACACGCTGCGAGTCCTCGGAAGGAGAAACAAGTTGAGGCCATTCCCCTGTTGTTGGTCCTACTTGGTCCTCCTACCTGGTTTTTTGTGCAACAGTTGTAGAAATTTGCAGAACGTATTGCCGTTAAAGTGGTGCTGGAACAAGATCCGACAGGCTTGCAAAGCTGCAGGAGGGGATCCAGGAGGGCGCCAGTGCTGTGGGCGATGCAAACTGCGTTGCCGATAGCACGAAAGCTCACTGACCTCAAGCAAGGGGACTTCGTGAGACATGCCTGAGCGGCTAACCTGCCCACCAGTTCTTAGCCAGGAACTTTGACCTGTACAGAGTGGCACAGGAGCAGCAGAAGTTGTTGCTGTTGCCGAGTTGCGATAGTTGCACAAGGTTGCCTAGACGAGACCTTCCTGTGCAGTGAGAGGCAATGGGTTCTGTGAGGCTCCTGATGCCTCAGTCGTTTTGCTTGCAAAGACTGAGACATTTCGCACATTTGAGCAGTGCCACACAACACTTCCTCGGCGAATGGATAGCACAAGCTAGTCGAATTTTGCGGTACATGGGCTGCACATGGGTGCTCCTCCCAGGCTGGCACTCTATGCACAAGATTGCGGACTTCTGCCAGAGTTCTTCAACACGCCGTCGAATGTTCGAGGAGATTCATTGCGTGCGCTGTCAACACGTTCTCCCGGTGTTGCGTGTGTGCGCTTGGAGCATTTGGCCTTCTGTGCTGGGCATTTTTCACGACTTCAAAATGTATAGTAGTGTTTTGTACAGGCCTATTTTGCGGGCTTCGATACCTCTGTGGATGAGGCCCCGGAGTGCAAAGGAGTGCAACGCGGAGCTCATTTTCAGAGCCGAGTCTTCCACTAATTCCTTTGTTGATCCTCTTCCCAGTCCTGGCTTTCAGTAGTTTTACCGACTTCTTTGCGATCAGCTTTGCTTTTTTTGTGCACTTGTTGCGCGTTTTTCAGCACGATGGCTTTTTCAGGCGGCCCTGGAGCTGCTGAGCGCCTTTGGCTATTTGCAAGATAGATTTTGTTTGGGAGAGGTTTTTGATTTTGTGTGGTCCATTACGGTCGCAGGGACCCGGCGCCAGATTGCTCAAAGACTGGGCTTCAGGACCTGATGTCAACTTTGCAGATTCTGGGGGGCTCTGCAGATTCTGGCAGGCTCTGAGTTCTTATTGCAGGAGTTGGGCCGACCTGGAAATGGCTCCAATGTCTCTGGGTGATGAGGCAGGGGACATGGCAGGGATTTAGGCTTCCTGCAAACCCCCGCAAGGCTCCAAGGAAATCGACCCGTGAGCGAAGGTGATGGAGACTGAGAGAATGTAAGAGAGCTGCGCACGAGGCAGCAGCCCGCCAGTTCTTGGATCGCTGACGGGTGCTCAGCAGTGCGTTCAACCCAACTTGGGGCCCCGCAAGAATCAATTCATGTTGAAATTGGCTCAGGCTGGAGAGATGCACAGCCCTCTGTCTCGGCAGCCAGAGGCTTCAAGAATTTTATGAAAGCGAGTTTCAAAGTGAAAAGCCTGGAGCTGGGAGCCGCAAAGGTGCACAAGCGAATAGAAGAGTGGAGCTCGAGAGACGCATCAGGCGGTGGATGTTACACCATGTTCCACCGAGTCACTTTGGGTTCACACATGTTCACACGCAGCAGAGCAAAGAGACCCTTGCCATTGGACCAGGCTCTGCTCGTGGTCGTGGCAAAGTCAGCCACCCTGACGAGGCTAGGGCTCTCGAGTTTGGGCTTTCCCGTCGTTGCTGGGCCTGCCTGTGGTCGCTTCTAGCCTGTTCCGCTCTTGAATGGACTCGACGCAGCACTCACAGACTGGCCCCGTATGGCAAGTGCACTTGAACCCATCAACGAACACAGCCGGGAACCAGCGATGTGCCCTAAGATAGGAAGTGAGCGACGTCCTTATCATGCGCGTGCACACACACACACACACACACACACACACACACGCATGGCTGTGAACAACATGGGGACACTTCCACGTGTCCTTTGAAGCAAATCCTTCAAAGGTAGCGAGTTGCAGACCCTTTGGACTGTTGCTTAAGACTCAAGACTCGTTCTGGTTGCAGAACTTTGCCCGTCAGGCCTTTTGGCATGCTTACCTCTCGCGATCAGCAGACACCTGGAAGCTTCGATCTTAACAGTCTGAGAACCCCTTCTCATGAATGAGAACCCTGGCAAAGTGCCCTCCCGCCGAGCCCGAGGCTTGCACAGTACTTGCCGATCAAGTGCTTGCTCTTTGGCCTGAAGGGAGAATTTCGCGCAGTCTTCGCGCAGTCTTCGCGCAGTCTTCTTTGCCCAAGGCCCAGTCTTCTCGACATCGTGGGGAAGGCCTATGGCGTCTCCTTCCGGGAGGCCGAAGGCGCCGAAGCAGCTTTTTGGCCAACTTTCCGGGGCATCGGTGTCAGACTGCGGCTCCCAGCTTCGCCTCGAGACTGCTGAGCGGCTGGCACAAGTCGGTACGGATCTTTGAGGCTTCGGTTCATGGGGAGAGAGGAAATGGATCAGGGGACGAACTCATTTAACGCTTTGGAAGCAGCCGGATCAGCACCTGAAGGTTTCTGATGGGGCGCCGCGCCCTGCAGGAGTCGGAATCTGAGCTCCGTGTGACGTTGAAGTTTTCAAGATGCCACATATGCCCCAGGTCAAAGGAGATGATGGGAGGGGCAAGCTGGGCTACGTCTACTTGGATTTGTATGCAAGGACTCGGGCTGTTTGGATGGCTCTGCAGTTTCTTTCACAGCTACGAGAAAGCAAGGAGTGTTTCCATGCTGGGACGAACAGCAGTGAAATTGGCGGGAGCACAATTGCTTTGTCCTGGTCATGCATATCTCAGTAGTGATCTCAGAGCATGAGAGCTGTTCCGTGTCATCGTGTCGCAGAACCCTTGGCAATGAGGCATACTTCTGACTAGCCGAAAACTCTGGCTTGACTTGAGGCTGCAACCTGCAAAAGGCGCCGATGGGGGGTGGCTGCCCTAGTTTTCGTCGTTTGAGAGTCCCAGCATTTCCGAGCGACTTGATGCCGGTATTTGCTTGAGTGCCAAAAAATTCTGAGTCAACAAGCTGTTGAACGTGGAGGAGGTTGTGGCCGTGACACATGAGCTTGGCCATGCCAGGAGCTTGGCAAGGAGTTGTAGAGATTCTGATGGGGTTGTAGGTGGAAAATGGCGAACACCCGAAATCACCCTTGCACTTGTGACATGGGCAGGCTGTACACATGCTCTGCCACACGGGGGGTCCTCAAGAATTCTGGGCTGGAGTCTGAGTTTTTTGGCTCACAAAAACGGTTGTTTTCGTGTTCCTGCGAACCTGTCAGGACATGCCGTTAGACGTGCTGGAGTTGCTCCTTCCTCAACTCAGCCAGAGCGGAAAAGCTTAGAGACCTGCGGAGAATCCATCGGAGAACCAATTAGAGAATCAGTTTGAGATCACAATGACAACAACACGAGGCCGTCTACTCTGGCGGAGACCATCGCACTGCAGCCCGGAAGCTTGGCAAAGGCGGTCCCATGCGCTCCTTGCCATTCCAACTGAAACTTTCAATGCGGTGCCTCCACTCATCAACTGTTGCTCCGGGCTCGCTAAATGGCACCAGCCCTTTGCCAGTACGCCCGCCACTATTCCACCAACGGTCCGCCTCCCGAAGCTTTAGTTCGTCGGTCCCTGAGCATGAGGATACGTTGGTGTTGCGTTCTGCTTGCCACTGCATTCTAGTGGTACGTGCCCTCGTAAGGTGCTTGCAACATCTTGCCGCCAGCTAAGGTTCTTGCCAGCGCAACTCCCGCTTCTTCGTCAACATTCTGCAGAATGCAAGCGTCTCGCTCGGCTTGCATGCCGAGGACGCGGATTTCTCTTGCAGTCTCATCAGCCAAGCTCAATGCATGGCAGAGACACGTAGGCATTCGACCCTTTCACTGCAACACCTGCGGATCTTCGAGCCGAAGCAGTTGCTTTGTGCTTTCCTCGGCATATGCTTCTCACATCTTCTCACGGCACATGCCTTTCGCGAGCAGTGTACTGGAAGATGCCACCGATTAAACTGTCTGTGTGGTGGTGTTTGGCCTCATCAAACCACAAGGCCCCTTAGGCTCCCAAGTCTGAGCTGGTGGTGCCAGCTGGTCTGAGGACAACGAAAGCCCGGGGAGGGGCAGGGAGGGGCCTGACAGGCATGGGGCCGGACGGGTGTGTGGCCGCGAGTGACCGAAACTTGGCGGGATGCGGGATTTCTAGAACATGCTGGGGACATGCTGTAGGAGCCAGGACGAGGGCTGTAGGAGCCAGGACGAGGGCTGCTGGGATTGATGGGAGGCCTGCGGTGTTTCTGGCGTTTGTTCGAGCTCCCAGGTGGCAGCGCTATTCCGTCGTGCCGGCGGATCCGGCCTTCGTTCCTCTCGGTACCGATGCTGGATTACATGTGGCGCAAGGAGGAAACCAGGTGGCTTACCTTCTCTGCTACTTGCGTGCGGTGCCTACTGGGCCTACTTCTTCCGTTCCCCAGTCTTGTGTGGGAGCAAGAAGACGTCGACAGATCCTCAGGTGTGGCCAATATCCTCCAAGCAAAGCATGGGAGGCCCAATATGGAGATCCCTGTCCTGTCTTGGATGTGCCACAGTGTGTGCTTCACCAGGAAAGATGGAGACGACAAATGGATTGGTCCTCGAAACATCTCTGAAAGAGTCTTTGGATGTTGGTATAAAGAGGGAGGGCCAGGAGTCCCCACAGAATTTTTCACTTTGAAGGCTAGGGCAAAGTCACGTGGGTATATCGTCGCCAATCAGATGTGTGGGGATGAAGGTACCTCAAGCATTGGCATGGGGCGACTGCGCATGAAATGCCAAGGCTGCGGCCAGACTTTGCCAAGCGAATCCGCGGACAGCTGTTCGGAGCTCGGAGAGCACTGAGTCGGTGGAAGGCGAATCGGTGGATTGTCCAACTTGTCTGGTGAAGTTGAAGAGTCCCTCCGCCCAGGTTGGACCCAAATTTCGCGTCAAAGGGATGGGCATCCTTGTTTCCAGCGAAGGCTGAAAGCGCGATCCACAGACGTCCACAGGCTGTGATGATTTGCTGTGCAGGAGAATTGTTCTCAGTGAGATATTGCCTGCAGAAAATGAGAACCGCAAGTTTCCGGGTTCGTGCGTGATGAGGCACCAGCAAGGAATGAATAATCCGGTGGGATCCGGTGGGTGCAAGGACACTGCAAAGGAACTGCGCTTGCGATGTTTTCACATCTGTCTATGGCACAGGGCGTTGGTGTCGGGCGCGGGGAGGTTTGATATTTGCCGCACCTTTGTTTTCTGCCATTTGTGCGTTCGTGACGTCGAGCGACTCATATTGCCTCATATTGCAGCGTAGACAGACATGTCTACAGCATTCTGCAGTTAACTGTCAAGTTCCATCGTCTGTCAGTGATGTCAGAGATGTCAAAAAGCAGCTTAGAAAACTCTCGTTTGTTTCATGAAAGGTCGTTCAGAGAGTATTCTCAGCTCGCAGAGGGCTCGAGGGGCCATTCTGACGTGTTGGACAGGATCGCAGGGATTTCTTGCCACATGTTCTTTGCACACTTTGATGGGTTGCCATCTTATGATTCTTATGGTTTTTCAAGCTCCTCCATGGCCATGTCCCCTTCAGTGCATCCTAAAGTACTCGACTGTTAAACTTTGTCAGGTTGCATCCCAACAATTTTTGGTTTGTTGGACACACGGCTACACGGCTAAGGCTTAAGAAGCATACCGCTGTATGTGCACTTGCCATCGTCGTGCTTCGCGCAGAGTGGTTCAGAACATGAAATCCATGAGCTGGCAAGGTCCGGTGCGCCCACACCCACTGCCTCCGTGTCCGCCTCTGTTGCGTCCACTCTGTTGCGAGAACGCGGCATCTTGCTCCAGTTCTAGCAGGTCAGGCACATGTGATGTGCTGTGCCTTCAAGCCCCAAGGCTGCCAAAGGACAACTCCCTCCTTTTCCAGGCATCCGCTCGGTGAGGGGAAAAGCGAGTGCCGAAGCAGTTGTTGTGCCCTGTTTGCACTTTTCATGCTCGCAGTGTCGCTCTTAGAAGTCGTAGCATCGCTCCTGAATCTTTGTTTCCTGTATTGTATTGCCGCCCGTGGAACTTCTGAAGCTTATCACAGCATGGGACATGCGTGACGCGTCCTCGCGTGCGAGAGATGTCTTTTGCACCCCAACCCTTCCAGTGAGCATGGGGAGCTTTGACTTTCGTCTTGGAAGCCATTAGAAGCCACTGTCAGCCCAGACTCAATTTTGAACCCAGTTCCTAAACCTTTGCAACTGGCCCGCCCGCAATGTGACACAGACCGTGCCAAACGCTCTATAGGCACTCACAGTTCACTTGGCGTCCTGTCGTTTGAGTGCCATGGCGCCCAGCAGAGGGCCCTTGGAGGACAGAATTCCCTCGTGCAGTTCCATGTGATTACGTGGTTTCGTGCGATGTCCCGCCCTTTGCCCTCACCGTGTAGGAAGCAATGAAGGCCAAGCTGCGACAAATGCAGGCACTGTCTGGTGTGGAGTAAGCTGGCAACAGCAGATTCGCTTATTTTCTTCTTGGTCCGCTTGAGAGACGAGGTTGCGCGGGACGCTGATCTCGGGCGCCTGCAGGCGGTGCTGCCGAGTGTAAGAATCGAATTCAAGTGGACTGTCGCAAAGGATCAGCTCTCTGCCAATCTGGCAACAGTCCAGAACCGCGATGAGGAGCTCGTCAGTTGTGCATGACATTGCAGAACCCACACGTGACTCCAAAGATGACAGGAGCTGATGGCTGCAGAGGCAGTGAGCCGCATTGCAAGTTCTGAGCAGGTTGAAGCTTAATGTAGCCATCTCGGCTGACAGCATTGCAAGGAAAGGTACCCCAACACCCCGACATCTTTCACAGCAATCGTTGTTGGAGCGAGGTTTGGGGCACCTGGGCTTGGGACTTCGGGTGACATTGGATGGGCAGCTGTGTTGACGATTAGGTTGCTTGTTCCTGTTGTTTCTGATTTCGCTTTCGTCTCCTGATTCTTGAGAGCTTCTTTCTGCTAGGGGACACGAAGATTCTTCTGCAGGCCCGGCTGCAAGCCTGGACCATGGAGGCCGCACAGCTGAGAAGCTCAGCGCAGGCGGGATGCAACTTGCACAATCTTGCACATTGCACCCGGTGCCGCTCCAAGACTCATTCGGGAATGGCAGGGTGAAGAACAACTTCGAGCCAACTGTGAGCAACAATCAGCTGTGCTGAGATCCAAGCTGGAGCAGGCTCTCTGTGAGAAAGCGATGCCAGCGTCTTCAGATGGCCGGAAGATGTCAGAATGGCTTGGCACTGGGCAGGCTTTTGCTTCACATGCGCAGCTGGAGACGCAGCTCCACGACTCCCAGAGGCGATTGGAAGAAGAGGACAACGCACACTTGTTCGAATTGGATGATTGCATGATGTTATGTTGTCACTCTGTTCCTTTTGTTCACTACTGTTGCTGTTCATGATTACACTTGGTCTCCAGTCCCCGATGTTTTCCAGGCTACCGCAGCGCAGCGGCGCAAAGCCGGGGAGGATAGGATGCGCGAGGAGTTGCTGCAGGCTGATGACATCACAAGCGACTGCCCAACCATGCTGTGTGTCAGACACTCTGCAAATGCCGGAATAACCTGATGTCAGGCACAAGCTTCTGCAGAAGCGGCGTCCGTGACTCGCCGGGGGCCCCATCACGGCCCCCCGTTGGAACCGTTGGAAGAGGCTTTCTGGTTTTGCTCACGCGACACCCAGGCCTGGAGTTGGAAGAGCAGATGCAACGGCTCTCAGCAAAACCTCGGCAAATCTCAGCTTCGAAGTGGCACTTTTTCATTGCATCTTGCGAGAAAGCCGAAGCCTAGGCTCTCAATGCGGCAGGAGGCGGCCACCGAAAAGTATTCGTTGTTGGTCCTCCGTAGTAAGAATGTGCGCTTAGCCTTGGAATCTGCAGAGCACGTCTTCTGGAGGCAGCGCAAGCCTC